AAACTCTCGGGGAAAGGCCATGCCACCGGTTCTCGGGGATGTCTCCCCGATTGCATGTCAATCATGGGGATATCTCCCGATTGCATGTCATCAGGGGACATCCCCGAGAACCGGTGGCGTGGCCTTTCCCAGAGTTTTCGAGGAGAGCATAACTTACCCGGATGGGGTCCCTCTCCTGTTCGGGGAGCACACCTAACGGCCCAGGTCCTATACACTTTTTCGCACCTAGTCAGCGTATAAAGTCATTTTAGAGCTCCTCCCCTCTCCACCACCCCGATGCTTGGGCAAAAATGTCCATCTCTGCTTCAAAATTGTTTCCTAGCATCATTCAAGGCTGACTAAGCTAGCCCTTATCAGAAGTGCTCTTGAACTGAGTCGGTGATGCGTTATCAACGCACTTATCCTTCAATTTATCAACACTATTTTTCTACCCTTAGCGTAAAAAGACCGAGCACAACCTAGTGATTCCCGTAACTCCACTTTTCACTGATTAATGTTTATTCATGGGACCTGACTGACTTTGACTCCTACACTACTCTTGAAAAGCTTTTCGAAATGTGAGAGAGGTTTTTTTTGCTTCATGGCTACCTATGCTGACTGACTCAGCCTAAGCAACTATCCTGCCACTGTTTTTGCACAACAATGAAAACCGGCAATACTGTTATTGTGCGTTCACACTTCATTTTTTGATGGACATCTTCATAATCGCACGGACCGTCAGAAGTGACACATTCAATCTGTGCACGGCCGACATGAAGGCAGCATCCATGACCAACAATCTATGGATCCTATTTATAAAGGGTTGTTCGAAATTTGAAAAGGTGCGTCGCACGGACCCACACGACTGCCTCTACACGGAACTGATCTTTCGTAACTAACCTACGGCCGTCCCCAGAGTATGGTTTTCGGTTTCTTGTTTCTCTTCGGAAACGAAATCTTCTCGCGGAAATTGTGTACTTTGCCTCTAAAGTTCACAACTGAGGTAATCATGTTGGGAGAGAATGCAATGAACGATTCCTTTGACATTGACAACCTCAAAAGTCCAGCAACAGGCTTTTATTACACACACGATTAAGGATACTCATTTTGCAGTCGCTGCCACCTTACGTCACAATTTGCGACCAATACCTGCAGCTCGCGGGATTCGCTAGTGATTTCTGCGTACTGTACGGGCCCATGTGGTGTCGCTGTAATGAGATGTCCGTCAGACCCGGCGATTGTGTCGATCGGCACAATTGCCAAGTCTAACGGCAAATCGGCAACCGCCGAGCGATCGCCATCGCCTGCACTTTTGCAAGACGATCGCCCATCGCTCGGCACAATCGCCGAGTCTGACGGGCATCTGATGAGACGCTATTTCGAGGAGGAGCGCAGGCGAGGGCAGCATATTGACGCGGTTGACGACCATGTTCAAGAAGCCCAAAGACCGTGAGGCGCTGACGTAGATGGAGGGAGGAAGTGGGCGACATTTCGGGCGAATGGCGCTAAGCGACACTAAACCGGCGCCAAGAATGGATATCAGCTTCAATCAGGGCACCTTGTTGTCCCATCCCCAGTAAGACCTCGGGGAATGACGCTCAGAATCATGGAAAACAGCAACCGTAAGCTCAGGAGACCCCGATAGGGATCTGTTTCAGTTAGAGAGGGCATCACGGTGCAGTTTTCCCAGAAAGCTAGGTAACTCCGAGCCAGGGGGAGTGTAGCCAGTCTAGGGGGGGGTGAGGCAGTCACTTGACATGCGTGAAAAGCTGGAATGTTCGAGTTCACACTAGTTCGCCGAGAAGCTGCACAATGATGCCCCTCCCCCTAACTGGAATAGACCCTCCGAAAGTCCAGCTTTCGGCACACTACGTCAAGGAGCGAAGCGCAACAGGAGCAGTTGTTTTCGCGCATCAGGATTCAAGCTTTCAAATATTAGGTCCTGAGGGCTACTCCTCAAGAGAATCACCACTGCACCTTCAAACATAGAGCAGTGAAAGGGACAAATAAATGAGAAAGAGGGAGAGAATCACGTGGAAAGGAAGGATCCACAAACTGCTGCACAGACGAGAGAAGGGAGGGCCTTCGAGAACTTGTCACTGGCTTACAAATTGAACGATGCAATCCAAAATAAACTGCAGATGTAAGACAGCACAAACGAATCCATGCAAATACCAGGAATTGGAATGAAATCTGTCCGTCATACAAAAATGAAATTATACCGTAGTATTCGTGTGTCAGGACGTAATTGCGTACAATCGACCCATTGTTGATTTCCGGCGAGTTCAAATTCGCTCGATCATGTTTCCTGCAGCGTAGCAGCGTTATAATGAAATTAGACACTACGAGAGCCAATTAGATTGATGTGTACTCGTCGATGAACAGGTCCCAATCAAAATTCGGGGATTTGGAGAATTTACGTCGAAAAGAAATCGTTGAGGTTTGGATTGGTTACGACGTCGACGCAGTCAATTTTGCCCAAGGGAAATGAGGTAAGCCAACTTTATGCATTTGCAAAGGCTCCAGCGGTCTGAAACACTTTTAAGGACCCTAGGAGGGCGCGGTCAGAGTTCCCTATTTCTTCATAGCCAATATTTTTGAATATCCTAGGTCAATTTTAAGAGCTGGATTTCGGTGCTAGTCAACTATACAACTCCAAAACTCCAAGAATTCGTCGAGACGTCGCATGTATGAATAATTTGGTGCCCTAATAATAAATATAACATTCATTTTTGGCGCCATTTGGTGCATTTGCGTCAATTTGGTTGGACACCCACTTTAACCGAATTCGCTTTAAACTGACGTAACGAGGTCGTTCAATGTCCTGATTATGGACATAAGACTCGCTTTTACTCCATTGGCGCCATTTTGGCACAACTGGGACAGTTTGGGCACCAAATTGGCGGCGGCGTCGAGACTACACGAGAAACCACAGTACTGCAAAATCGCAGAATCTGAAAATCGCAAACTATGGCCACAGCCTGATTCGTGATCAGCGCACTGAACTTTCTGAAAAGCAGACCTCCAGCAGAAAAAAATGGAACTTCCGGCAGGCGGCTAGGGTTGTACTAGTTGAGTGATACTCCATTTTCCAATGTAACCGAACAGCTCATAGAAATAATACCTAGTAGTGACATAGGGGCAAAGGGTTAGTCTCCATCCTCGTGTTCGCGGGGCATCTCAGGTTTCTGCCGTTGGGTTCTCTTCCATTTGTGTGTTCATTATGTGTAGTCTATTTGTTTGTTATGAATCATATGACCTTGTTTACCTATACGATAGATAAATACACTTGTCGTCAGTAGACCTAAAATGCCCTTAGGGAGCCAAGGTTTAGTCTGAGCGCAGGGAAATAAAGATCAGTGGATTAGACGAGGAATCAAGGAAAACCAGAATGCCATATGGAAGCAGGTCGGTTCAAGCGGGATATTCGGATCAGGGATTGGGAAACCATCTGCCAGTCTCTAGGGAGGTTCGGCCAGCGGCCGCCAGCCAGCCAGCCATTCACCCCAGCCGGCCACCACCCACCCGTTCATCCCGCGACGCACAATCGGTCATGAGTGTGTGAGAAGTGTGCCTCCCGAGAGCGCCAATCTGTGTTGACTTGATTTCGGGGCTTTTTTGATTCATAATTCATCATTCATTCAATTGCTTGACCTAATTTCAACCCCTTTCTGGAAAGAGTGCTTGGAGCCGCTCCACTCAGAATTTGGAAGTTTACCCCGGACCAACCCTTCCTCTGCTTTTTTCACCACATTTGAAACAGTATTTTGAAATGATAGTTCATATTCTTCCTGTGGAAACTCAGCCTTCAAGTTTCGTAATATATTTGTTTCGTTTAGTTCGGTCATTGTGCCGTTGCTTCAGTTCATTTTCAGTTAGCGCTCCCTTAACTCGTTTTTCTGAATGCTTATCAATTCCAGTCCATTTCCGGGTTTCTGTGGCATTTCAACTAGACAGCACTTCAGTTGTGGCGAATATCGATCATCGGCAGAATAGTATTGCTTTTCCAAACACATCTAAAACAGGAATTCCTTCCCATACACACTTTTCTCTAATCCCCGCTTTTCAGCCCTCTTGTTTCTGTTTACTTATCTTTTGCTTTTTGAGAAAGCTGTGAGTCAAAAGTGAAGGAAGATGTGCAATTACGTAGTACTGTGCAATGCGTGAAAGTTTGCTGAAAGATAACAGTTGAAAAATGGAATGGGAAGTTGATATTAGAAAGTTATCGGTGAACTGGGGAGATAGTTTTATGCGTGGTTTTGATCTCCATGGGAGACCCATTGGTTTTATTCGATCAATTTTTTGGGCGAATCTCTTTTGCATTTCTATGGAGAACATCTTACTGTTTTCTAGGCTCATAAAACCTATAAATAGCCCATATGTGAGAGTTTGTACTACTATATTAAGAACCAGACCCGAAAATTTTCTTGCCAGAAATTGTTAAGTATAGAGTAATCTGCTCTGGGGAAAATATCTACGAGAGCTGATTCTACATCCTCCTGCTTTATGTTCAGTACTGCTTTCTAAATCCTGAGCTGCTTTAGTGCCGACTATTGCTTCTTGACTTCCTTTGCTATTTGATTTTTAATACTTAGAAATGTTATTATCATTCCACTTGTAACTATCGTTGCGAAATAAAACTCGTTTGGTTCTTGGATTCACTTTTTCGTGTCAAATTGCACGCCATAGCAGGTCGCCCTTCCACGAGACGAGTCAATAAAAACCGCAAGTGTTATCCTTCAGAAAGATAAATTTCACCTCTATAATGATACAGAATCTTAGTACTCATATTTTCTTCTTTTCCTGTTTTGAGAGCATTTTCAATTACAAATTCAACCAATAATTTTCTTTGTAATAAAGTCTCGTATTCATTCCAAGTTCGCTGGTTCATCTGTGTGTTATCACTAATTATTATATGATATGATCTATTTCAGGGTCTTGTCAAGGTATTTTTAGAACTGCCTTCTATCACTGCCGTTTTATAATGTTTGCTGAGAGCTGTACATAATTAGAAGCCCAAAATGGTAGATTGCGAGGTTCGTCTTTGCCTCCTTCAGTAACTATTATTCGTTTCGAGGAGGTGTCCCAGTGAATATAGGGCTTTTTTCACCGAGAAATAATTGACGGAGGAAATTAAAAGAATTATTGGTGCAGTGTTGCGTGGAGTATAAGTTTCTTATTAAGGTTATTTTGAAAGCAGAAGATATTGCTCATGTTCTTCGCGATGGTGTGGCGCTATTGCCTGGATCTCGTGATCGTACGGGTCGTGCAATCATAATTTTCCCTCCGAAGGAGCATCAACTGAATCCGGACAATATTAGGAATATCCTTCGATACCTGCACACCGTGACAGCGTTAGTTTTTTTTATTAAGTATTACTTTACATCGTTTTGTGAGTAATTACTTATTGACCTTTCTTCTTTTTTCAAGCTTTCTTTGGTTCTCGTTCTTATATTGGCATTTAAGTGACGACGCTAGGGAGCTCGGTTTCACTGTGATCATAGATATGCGTGGGAAGCACGCGTCAAATAACGTACGACCTATCCTGAAATCCATTAATGTGAGGATGTTTGCATATTTCTTGTTTCCATTTTTCACATTCTTAGCCACAATATTTAAGCATCTCTGTGAGACGACAAATGGGCTTATTATCATGGTCTTAATAATTAAACCGGACACTTTTTGGGAGAAGCAAAAGGCCAACATGCTTCTGGGATCTTGGAGTTTTGAGGTTTGTCGATTTTCTCATTCAGTATTTTACGTTATTACTCGGAATTACAATTTCATCAAATCAGCCTTTGTATACTTTGACTGCTCTCTGCGAAAGAGTATTTTTGGTATCGCGATTTTGTTTTATGTAAATTCCTTTCACATGGTTTGGAAGTCAGGAAATCTCTTCTAGAAGTTTTAGTAAGACACTAATTTGGTGATCTAGGTTATTTTCTTAATCAGTATTATTTTGATGAGACGTAATGGTGATGCTGCACATAAACTAGCTTATTTGCGGTTTCCATTTAATTGTCCTACTTTGCACGACACCAACACTTTTTTCTATAAGCAGCTGAACTAAGAAATTGCCAAATGTTTTCTTGTTCTTGTTGATCAACCCTTAACATCTCAGGCCAATGTGATACCCTTTACTTGAATCTTTTGCAACATCCTTGACTTAAATTAAAGTTTACCATCTCGATATCGTTTCCGGTGGAGTAAATGGATGTAATGTGCTCTTTTCAAAAAATGAAATCTCTCTGCGTCAGGAGTATTGGGTCCTAGCTGATATTCGGAAGGAACTGACGTACCTTGGTTGATTTGTGATCTAACTTTCTCCCTTTCAAGGTACATATGATTTCTATTGATGCTTTATCGAAGTTCATCGATCCCAGCCAACTTATAAGAGATCTCGGTGGTTCTTTCCCATACGATCACGACGACTGGTTGGACACGCGTCTGGTAATTCATCCTCTTTTTATTGCTGTTTTTTATGTGGATATGATAGGGACTGATTCCGGAGGAGCTCAGGTAGATTATTCGATGCAGGAACGTAGTCTGCTTTTATACATTGTTTCTCACCTTTACATTTACATGTTCTTCTTGCTTCCGTCAGCCGTACTTACCGTGCCTACATGAGTTCTTTAGTTGAATTTCACCTTCCTAGAGAAAGAATGCTTCATGTCATTGCAGGAATTGGAACGCTGGATATGGCAGGTTTCGGAAGTGATGCGAAATTTGGAATGCCAACGCAGAGCAATGGCAGACGCTCAATTTCCTGTAGATGTAACCACAGCGGAATCTGCTCTTTCTCAACATTCCTCCATTAAGAAAACGATTTTTGCCATTCCGATTGATCGCCTACAAAGCGAATCTGACAGGGTTTGTTCTGGTCATTACGCTCTCTAATTTGATTTTTTTCAGGATTTCATAAGAATATAATTTTTTTTTGCAGATAAGTGAGAGAATCAATCGAGCTCAATGTGGGATTTCAAACCCTGATCTCGTGTCGTAAATTCCGCATATGGCTAATTTCTGACATCTTTACGAAATTTGAAGTAAGTACTTCTGATGTCGATATGTGGCGTAATCTGAGAGTGGCAGTATTCGTGCATCGAATTGCGAAAATCTTCATGATTTAAAATTCTTCAAGCAAACACCCGAAAAAGGTCACAGCTTGATTCTACTGTTTGAAGGAACGACGTCTTAAGCAGTGGGAAACACGTCGTGTGGAGCTGGAGGGATGTTATCAGATGAAACTCTTCGAACATGACGCTGATGAGGTATGATCTGTCTTCGTTTTGTACAGTAACATTCATTCCCGCTTTCAAGCCATTGGCGTATGTATGACTGCAACAATTTATCCAGCTACAGTTACTAAAACAAGCTGGCTCTAGATGTTGGATTGGACGCGAAAACATTGCGACGCATTATCACGGCGAATTGGCGACATTGGTGTGAACGATACAGAAGCGTCTGAAAGGCTTCATGAGTTCGAAGAATTTTCAACAACAGCGGATGTGAGTACTTTACTTTATCAGTATTTCATTGTGCTTATTTATGCAATTTTGATTTTATTGATGACTCAGGTGCACTCTTCTACCACTTAATATCGGCGTGTTCGCATTTTTATATGCTTCCCTAACATTTTGTTCTTTGCATTTTAATCAACAGTGCCTACACTACAGGGAAAGAGAGAAATTAACAGTGTATTTACTACCGGGAAGCTCGAACCGATCATGTCTTTTGATGCTAACTAGTCTTTCAGCTTTTCCCTCTCTCTCAGTCCTCATCTCTCACTGCATTCTTGAAATTTACCATATCGCGACGAATTGCATCTCTAACAAAGATCGTAGCTCGCTGGATAATATATGTTTTCAATTTATTCGCTAGGACTCTCGTGCATATTGCAGTAGATAGATATTTGCTGACTTAGTAGTATTTTATCTGCTATCCCTTATGGAATAATTAAGAGTAAGCAAATGTACGCTGATTGGTATGGAATAAACGGAGCTTGAGGCCTCAAATTGGACACGTTAACTTTATACAAGTTTATTTTGTGTATTTTGGACGTTTAGAATTTTTCAGAGTGCTGAAGTGAATATTACTCAAGTCACTAATATAGCTATACGTTTGCGGTCAATTGGTGGACAGAATTCTAGAAACAAGGTCTGTATTGTTTCATGTCTGTTCTACTAGTGAGTATAGAACCGGGAGCTCCTTAATATTTTACGTAAAAGATCTATTAAATTGCTATGCCTTTGATGACTTGGAGTTTCCGTCTCCAGTTTTCTGATTTTATTACGTCTTTTTACAGTTGGAACGGACAAAATTACGATTGGAAGAGGAATGGGCTCGGTTTCAAGAACAATTAGTGAAACGAAAGCTTATACTGAGTGCTGCTGTTGCCTTTTTTCAGTGCCTCGAAAGTGGTTAGTCTCATGAACGAAATATTGCATTGACTTTTACTTGACTTTTATGTCATTTAGGTCTATATTTGTTATTTTCAGTATTTTTCCCAACTGCCGAGTTGGGTGGAAAGCCCTGGAGTGGATCCTGCTGGCATGAATGGGAAATGGGGAGAAGTTTTCGAGGAATCCTCAGCAGCACGAAAAGTTATGGTCGCTGTTGACAGGAGACGTCTGCAGAGGTACTGAGATTTTATAGTTTGATGATAGCGTATTTGTTATACAACTTTGCGAAAATATTTTTCTCCTATGTGTATAGGGGGAGTGGTGACACCTTACCAACAGCGAGCGGTTCCGGGATAAAATCTGGATCGTTGAGTCGGGCTGGGCCGACCAAGCCTTTCGATGTCGGTTAATGGTGTTTGGAGGATAAAATAACGACTTGTACATCGGCTGACTACCACGCAGGAGTATTGAAAGGCACTTGCATCAAGACTACATACGAACGCAAAGAATGGAAGTAGAATGGGTGCCGCATCTTAAGACGGGGTCAATCAGCGGCAAAAGCTTTGTCCTTTATCCTTTTATGTGTCCATGTGTGACCTTTATTGCTATTATTATAATATTTAAAAAATGTTGTGTGTGCGGCTGTCTTGGCTAAGTCGACCATGATTTACATCTTTTTTGATGATTGATGTTTTCCAGGCTGTTGCTCAGGGGTCTCAATTGGCTCAGCTATTAAAATCTGTGGATGTTGATGACGCACCTTCAAAAGAGCAGATGGGAAAGCTAACAAGAGCTCACAAGCATCTTCTTTGTTTGTGGAAAGAAAGAAGGGTGAGAATGTTTGAATTTTTGATTTTAATCTATTGCACTTTGTGAGACTATAGTATGCTGTAGGTCCCATCCTTGTCTTTGAAAGTTTTTTTTGAGAGTTTTTGTGTGGTTTAAACTGTTGTTATAGAGCAATTTCGCGATGGAGCCATTGTAGGCCGGCAATTAGCAGGGTTTACGACTTAGTCTTGCTCTTAGGCCTCATACTCTTGTTTTCTCAGCCACTAGAGAGCCTTATTCTTGTAAAAGTAGTGGTCGTTGTTTTCTGGATCAAAACTGTTTGTTCTTTACTTACAAATTTCTCAACCTTTAAGGTTCGACTCCATTCAATGCTTGCTCTGATTGCATTCCGTACAGATACACAACTGGTTGTGGAATGGCTTGAGCAACATGGTGATCCGTATCTGACAAAGAACACAAGCATAGGTTTGACTAACTGTAGCTGAACGCGATATTGAAATAATATAGGTATGCTGCTCCCGTGAAATGTTATACTTTAAGGGGAAACTGTCGAGCAAGCACGCACACTGCAAAGAAACCACAGCCATTTCCGCCAGATTGCAAGAAATACGTATTCGAATGCCAATAAACTTTTTGAAGCCAGTAAAGCAATATTGGAATCAGGTATATTTTTCGTTAACGCTTCGCTTACATAACGCATCGTCGCTGCAAGTTGAAACCTCGACAAATTGCTGAGTTGACTATGATTTCCTCTTTCGTCCCTAGGGCTCATTTGGAACTTTCGCTGCTGAGGGCTAATTGATTGAATCTTTTTTTAGCAGATCAAAATAAGGCTGACACTTCGAGGTTCTCCTTGTTTTCAGTCTTTTTCTTTTCCTTCCACCTGATTTAGCATTTCTTAGATTTCGGATCTATGAACCTGGAACGTACGGTATGATCTGTCCTTGCCCATGTTTATGGCCTGTAGATTTCTAGTAACCTCGTTATTCGTCGGTTACACTTGAAAATTGTTGTATATGTTCAGGTGTTTGTGATGCGGAGAAAATGAGAGCCATGATCGGTGACCTGGATCAACGGGTACAACAGTTCACCCATCGTGTCGAAGCTAGGTTCGAAGGAATCCATTGTTTTTTAGCAGATCAAATTGTGATTTGTTTAGATTCAATTTGCTCAATCAGTCTGTTTTGTTTCACACGCATTATCATGAGATCATGGCTTGGTATGATGAAATGGAGAAAAAGTATGCGGAACGGGTAGTTGACTCTGAGGTTGAGGCATGCGAACGAAGCAAGGAACAATGGCTCTATGAAAGTGATGGAACGGCTCAGGTATTTACCTAGATAGATAAAATTCATGAATATGTTTCAAGCTTGCATTTATAGGCGTACGCCACGACTATCGGCGAAGGCACGCAACTGCTTCGCGAATTGGAAGTTCATTCCCAGCATACTGGGATTGACTACACCAGCAACATTGCTTGCATCAATCGACTAATTCGGAACATTGGTGAGTACATTTTCAGGCTTTTTTAATCGTGTATAATTCTTCCAGATTGTTCAAAAATCAGAAGGACGATTGTCTTTGGTTATATTGTAAAACCATAAAGTTTGTCGTTTCGATGGAAAGTTTCGTTCTAAATCCGACCCAAATGGGTAAACTATATCGGAGACAATCAAATTTCTTTAGGGGAAACTTTGTTGGCCTTCTTTGCTCTTTTTGTTGTTAATAACAGAATGAGACACGTTAAGCTGAAATTTCATGGTACTTTGGTTTGCTGGGAAGGAATTTAGGGAATGGCCAGGTTGATAGTTCTTTGTTAGCAATATAAGGTTCGTAAGAGTTATTTGTCCTTCTTGCTATCGTCTACCAGCACTCCCTCATTTTATCACTTTCGAAGCAACTCAATATTTCAAAGGTAATTAGAGATCATGTATGGAAGCGATCGCTATAGTTCGGATCCATGAGGTTTCTATTTTGAAAGAGTTGCGCAGCAGTTATAAAGCAAAACATTTAATCTTGCATTAGATGCTATGCAGTACTATCGAAATTCTTGGGTCATTTTGAATGCGATTTCGTCCTTACAAATAATTTACGAGGCCCAGCTGCTTTTCAACCGGTTTTCTTATTCTCCCAGGCAGATCTTGTTTCACTTTGGCGGCTCGGGGAAAGGATAAAAGGGTTCGGTATTGTTTTCGTTCGTTACGGTTCTTACTTACAAGGGAGGTCGTTTAGGGCTGTGCCAAGCTTTTTCAAAATGGGTTCTTGCATGACATTGGGGCACATATGGGGACCACAGAAGCATGGTTCATTTTTCCTGAACGGCCCTCTGAATACCAGAAAAGGGGGTCCCTAGTTCGATTCCTCGTGGTGACAAATTTTTGCATTTCGAGTTGACGTTTCAAAATTCGCGCAAAATGGAGTTAGCATGAATAATTAGTACCATATTCATGATTAGGACCGTCAGTAACCCTTACAAATAGACTTTGATTGAAAATGGTGGTGAAAAATGGCGTCGTGACCAGGGACCCCCTTTTCTTCGGTATTAGGAGGGCATTTCTAAGGAAAAACTGACCGTGTTCTGTTGGTCCGGCATGGTGCACGTATATAGGAAAGACCGTTTGAAAAGTTGGCACCTGAGACACCCCCCTTGTTAAGTGACGCAGTTGTAAAGTCAATTTGTTATACCATCCCGACTAAGCGACATTATAGTTAACTAATTAGCATCAATGATGTCAGATTTGTACGGCTCATGAGATATTCACTCTTCGACCAAAAACTTCCTATGGAATTTCAGAAAGTCGTAATAGTAAATTGTCGAGCATTTGGAATCCGCAACGTGTGCTGTTGCAAATAGGACTCCGATTTGCTGTGCTAGTTCGCGACAACTGTGAAGTACTATCTCAAATTCGGGTAGGCAATACTTGCTTCAAAACCTTCTCTTCTCTGGATTCAGGTAGTGCATTTTAGAGCTGGGAGGAAGATATGCGTGGTATGTTGGAATCTTCTACATTTGCTGGAAATGCGGAAAAGGTTCTGCCATTCCATCAAGACAATACAGCTCAAGTGAAAATGGCTGTAAAGAACATTCGCAAGTGTGCTCAGGAAGTATTGCAGGTCTGTTGGTATGCTTGTGAATTTTTATAAGATTGTTCATTGAAATAATTTTAGTCTATTCATGGAAATGGTTTTTCTGATTTACGGACGAGGCAAGGAAAAAGTGTTACCGATCTGATTAGAGAGAACCTAAAGATCCTCGAAGTCGCCGAACATCAAGTAATGCAGGTATGTACATGCCATTAATATTGTGAGCTGGCATCTGGCAAATAAATTGGCTACCTTGCAGCGAGGCGCGTACGTTCGCGGCATAGCGTAAAGAATGAGTAAATGCGTTCATTCCTAAGTTTTTTTTCTATTCTCATGGGCTGTAACAATAAGGCACGAAGAGCAAGGATAATATCGTTTAGCTGCGTTGTTATAATAGAATCTGTCTTTCCATTCAATACATGAGCTTTTTTTTCAGTATGCTGCTGAGACGTCTTACCGCATCGAAGGCTCCCGAAAATTGGGACGAGTAAGTGGTTACACACATTGCAGCAGTTGATCAATCTGATCAATTGATGAATTGAATAGACATGAGCTCAGTTCAGATCCGCAACGTTCGCGCGTGAAATAGTTCCTGTTGATCGTGAAGAAACGACCCTTTCAAGTCATGAGCACGCCCTTTATCTAGACAGCCCTGAGGCCACAAAAGCTCATAAAGATGTGCATTAGCGAAGTTGAGGTGATCCTTTTTGACACAGCGCAGGCTCTCCCTCACTTGAGTCTCAGTTTGAACAACATGGAATGTCGAGTTTTTCTCATGAACTGTCCAAGAGCTATCCGGAAGGATCAACGGATCGTCATCTGTCGAACTAAATGAGATGGTTACCGGTCGATGGAGGAGATTAAGCGGCTTGGCTGAAGAGCGCAACAAAGCTTCTTAAGGTATAGTGGTTCGATATTTCGTTCATTATTGGTAAATTGTAAGAAAATTTATAAAAATGCTTTCTGATGCAATTACCTCTCTGTTCTCGGCCTCTATTTTATGTCTTTTTGTATATGTCTTTGTCTGTCTTTTTTACCTATTAATCTTGTAGTTAGCTAAAAGATTAATGAATTCGGTTTCCAGGCTGCTATAGTTTGCTACAAAACTTACCTCACTGGAGTGTATCCCATTCTCGATCAACTGGAGAAGGATTATAGTCAGGTTGGTGATGCTACGATAATGAACCATCAGTAGCATTGTCCATGATCTGTTGCGATTACTACAATGTTTGTCCGTATGAATCATTTGAAAGTATAGACACGTTCCGACTCTACTGGTTGAAACAACTTCACTGTAATGTTGACTGGCGAGGATTGTCTATTTGGATATCACTTTTACTTCACTCAAAGTTTTAGTCCATTTTATGTGTATTTATGAATAGCACTCTTTCCTGACTGCAAATTTACTAGAATCCCGATCGCGATTGGTGTGCGGTACGAGTGGGTGAAACGCCACAGGAGAGAGTCAACGTGATTTCGGAGCTGCTCAGCAAGCACATGGATTACAAAGATCGATTCCTGAAGGGCTGTATTTATGCACAGAAAACTAGTGAACTTTTCCTGAAGTACATAGAAAGAACCAGCTCAGGGACTGGTGTACATAATCGGTGCGTTACTGTAATTGTCTTCATAAGAAGGAAAAAAATTCATTACCACCTTTGTAGACTTGACAGTGAACGAATCATGCGTATGAAGTCAGATTTACGTGAACGGCAATCAAAGATACTTGAATTGTGGACGAAAAAGAAGAAACAGCTGGACAGGTGATTCGACAGTGAGACAGCCTCTTTGTGTTACATACAATAATGAATTCATAAATTACTGCAGATGTCAGCAATTTGTTCTGATGGATGCAACACGGCATGTGTTGGTTGACTGGCTATGTGGAGAAGGTGAACGCCGTTTAACTGAATTCCTGGGAAAGGGAGTTGCCGACGCTGCTACGCTGGAAGATTTCCATACCTTCAAGCTGGCTGTAAAGGTATTTAGCGGCAGCAGGTTGAGAGGCTCCACAATGAGCACTTAAGCTGGTTCTGTTTCAGGAAGAGCGAGCAAAGATCCAGACGCTTTTGTGCATGGCTGGACCGATCAGGGACGAAGCAAAGCAACATGCGGCTGACATTGCAGACTGTATGGATGATGTGAGTAATGAACTATCCATAGTTTCTCTTGGAGTTGATGTTTTTAATTTCCAGGTACGTCTCCGGTTTGAGAAATTTTCACGGCGGGTTGCTGAATGTGAAACTCTACTTCGTGGAGGGAAACCGATACCTGTAAGTTTTACATATCTTGAGAGTTACTGTCTATTTTCAAGGCCTTATGGCTAGTGTAGTACTGCTTCACAGAGTTCCTTTAATAGCTGTTTCTACTGCATATTCGTATGTTTGCTTTGCCAGAGTAGTCTATGAGTTGTCTGGCACAGATGTTTCTAAATCAAACTATGTGATTCTATTCTCTTTGTTTATAGAAAGATGATCTTTCGCTCGATCGATTGTCTGATCCAAATGTTGAAGAGAACATGAACATTATGAAGCGTGAGCAGAATAAGAAAATGAGGTGCGCTGAATTGTTTTGCCTTTACGTCCTTTTTTTCGCGAATCTTTTCGTTTTTGTTAGCGTTATGTTTTTTTCCTCTTCTTTTTCATCTCTGCTGCTTCATTCTATGATTTCCTTCCGCCGTGTTTAACACTCAGAATTTTAATCTGGATGTTCGTCTCATCGCAGCAGAAGAAAAACGCTTCTGTTTTATTAGAGTTCTGAAAGTTACTTTTGTTATATTAGTGTTCCGTAAGTTTCCGTAAGTTTCGTAAATAAGTTCTGGAAGTGAATTTTCAGAAAAGCGCTTAATCCCATCATGGTCCCTGTCCTTCTCCTTAAAGAGATAGTCTCTATTATTCTTCTACTCGAATTTTCTGTCGTTTTCTCAAGCGTACAACTGTTACTAAGGCCAAGACAGCGCCACACGTATACACGAGTTTTTTGCTATTCTGTGAAATTAATATAAAAGAAAGGATAAAGCATTTGCCGTTGATCAATCCCTTTTTGGGATGCGGCACGCATTCTACTTCCATTTGTACATTCGCAGTGGCATTTGAATGCGATGTGGCCTATACAATGACTTGCGGGGGCCAGCCGATGTTCAAGTCAGTGTTTTTATCCTCCCAGACAAGTCTGGTACCAATTAACCGACCCCGGAGGGATGGAAGGCTTGGTTGGCCCGGGCGACTCACGACCCAGGATTTGATCCCCGGACCGCTCGCGTGGAGCGCGCCACTTGTCACTACACCACTTCCGCCCGGATTATAGTCACCGCTAGGCATCATGATGGTAATTGGAAAT